GGCCGGAGGGCCACTCGGATTTGAAAAAAAAACAATACGATGCTGCGCATTAAGTGGGCCTGTCTGTCAATTAATCCCCGGGCAACTTTTTTCCCCTAGTCCGCCACTGGTTGGGGGGGGTTCATGAGCGCTCAGTGCCCAGGGGCCCCTGGAGGTACTAATCCAGCCTTGCTGTAAAGTATGTGTATTCAGCAGTATTCACTCTCTCCACTAACGCTATGTTAACAACGCTCGTTGCAGCTCTTGCCCCACCTCCCTGTGAGCCCAGTGTGCTCCGATTGGTCGGGACGTTGTGAATTACGCTGAGCTCCGTGGAGGTGTGATTTCCTTGTTTAGCGATACACAGCCAAACACAGCCAAACTCATCCTGAACACACACAAAGTCACAGCCGAAGTAAAAACAATACGTGTGGCTTGATATTGAGTAAGAAAAAAGGTTGATAAACGCTGTGAGAATGGGTCTGCAGAGAGAATTTCGCCGCGATCCCAACTGTCTGTTATCAGCCTGCAGCCAGGGAGAGCTGCCTGCACTGAGTGTGTGTGTGAGGAAGTCCGTGGATTGGTCAATTTTGACCAATCAGCGAGGGCTTAACGGAACGGCTCCGCGGACGTAACGTAACGGCTCCAAGGATTGGCCCATTTGCGGCCAATTCGGCTACTGGCCATTCCTACGACACAGTACCCAGGAAGTAATCAATGGACAATGACGTATCGCCAACGAGGCGTTTTGGGGAGGTATTTTCTGTGTTAGAGTTTTACTCCCTACAGGGTGTACTTTGAGGGGTTTGACTCTGCACACCGTTTACATGCAGAAAAACCTTCATAACACACAAGGGGACGGGTAATAACCGGAAAAGCATGACATGGGACCTTTAAATATCTACATAACATTATCTACTAAAATATGAAGGTATAGACTGTGTGTTTCTCCTCCAGGCCCTGGTGGACTTCACTGACTTTCAGATATACCAGGAGCTGATCAAGAGCCGCGAGGACAATTCATTTTACAAAAGCTGTGCGTCGGAGATGCTGCGCATGGTCATGGAGGAGGGGTGCACCACCCGCAGCAAGGTGCTGAACTACCTGGGGGAGCGCTTCAGGGTGAAGATGAACCTGCCGGAGTGGTACACAAACGAGCAGTGTGCCAACTACCTACTGGAGTAAGTATGTTTTTATATCATCAACAGCATCATATCAAAAGCAAATGATCTGTACATAAAAACCTACATTAATCTGCTTTGTGTGACATGAAAGCTGACCGCATGGTTGTGTTAATTCTCTCCATGCTGTCAAAAATGCATGATCTATTAGCTTTTTATGTAGGTTATTTATTAAAACCTAAAAATGGTAAATTAGATGTTATAAAGAATATAATGTAGGCAGCTTTAAAAACTGAAAAACAACAGATTATGATGCAAAATGTACAACCCCAAAAGTCTGTGTAATTCTTTTTGCGTACATTTTAATAAAATGAAGAACCTTTTCTTCTGTTGTGACCAGCGAGTGCATCTGTATCCACCTGAAGTCGGGCATGGAGAAGTTCTACCTGCTGTGTCTGATGACCAGGAAGCTCTTCACGTTCGCCAAGCAGGAGTGCATGGAGGAGAACCCCGACAGCATCATGTGTCAGGAGGTGCTCACCCCTGGGCAGCTCTACCTCATGTTCATGAAGGTATGCTCACTGAGGAATGCAGAAGCAAAATATATGTTTTTACTAGGGCCGGGACTTTAACGCGTTAATTAAGATGAATTAATTACACAAAAATTAACGCGTTAAAAAAATTAACGCATTTTAATCGCACTTATTTTTGCACCGCGGAACGTTTCTCACTGGATGAGTTTCAGGGTTACCGATTATACTGGAGCACCAACTAACGTTCATGACTTCAAACAACAACAAACCACAGTGAACAATAGTCAAACGTGAACGAACAACCTGATGAGACCGCTTTGGTTGGCCCCGTGGATGGGACATTTTGTTTTAAAAAACGGACGGATGGAAGCATCGATAAGAGCACGGTTATTTGCAAATTATGCAAAAAGGAATTTGCGTATCACCGCAGCACATCAAGCCTCAAGTATCACCTCAATGCAAAACCTATAGCAGCTAGCGTGGAAGCTAGCGTGGACGTTAGCCCGACTCGGAGTACAAGGACCCACACCCAATTCGCGTTGATCAAACAGTGGCCTATGCAACAGAGAGATTTTATTTTTCATCAGGATATTGGAAGAATAGGAGGGATTGAGGTCAATCACTGGCACTTTTTTATTTTATTTTAAATGGTACAGTACACTTTATGTTGAACTATTTATTATG